CGGGTAATGCCACGATTTCCTCGACGATTATATCAGAGGACGTGGCAACTTCTGGTGAACCAGTACATGCAATGTCCTCGGTATCCAATACAAGGCAGTTTGAAGYGAGCTCCCTATAGCCAAAAATGTCTTYTAAGTCATCGTACCGGGGACACATCCTTACGATCGCGTCTAAAAATGAAGTRTATTTGTAGGATATATACATTTAAAAATTTATGATGTGTAGAACCTACTTTTGGTAGTGTCACAATTATCCATGGTGCCACTTCCCGTTGCATTTTGCCAGGACTTGGCCTTGGTGTACTGCAATCTTAAGTTTTTTACCTTGCAACGCACCAGAGTCCAATGCAAGTCGCTGCCAGTTTGGTTCAAAAATATTTTATAATAATGTTGGGCCGTTGGTTTCTCTAGTGGCCTGTTGTCCCTCAAAAAGTTGATTAAACTTTCATTTTCGTTGTCGGTCCACTTTCTGTAGGGAGCCTTTCGAACACGCTTATGTACAACCTGCAATATAACAATTATAGGCAGAATATTTTCATATTTATATTTAAAAATATTGCGAATTGCGTTTACCTTCTGTATTTCTGTGTTGCTTTCCATTTTTTCTAAACGAGAATAGTCAGCTGATCAAAGTTACCACTTTACCAGGAAACAAAAACACTAATTGTGCGTTCACAGTTTAAATGTCAAATATCGGGCAAAGTTGCCACATATGAAATTTCCCATAAACTGTGAATACAATAACTATATACTCAGCTTAGTATCATTATTCTTGGCTGTATGTTAGCCAGTAATAAAACTTTATTCTTAAAAATTACTATTATGGTACAAGTAGAAAATATCTTTAAAATTATAAACGGGTATTTATATATTGTATATACATATATGAACACTTTGTATACATATTATATATTATAAATACCACAAATATATAAAGAGTTTTGCGTGAAGAACCTATAAAACTATTAACCACCAAAATGCATAACTTTTCTACGAGTTTATTAAAATGATTCCTTCACTTTTGTAAGATTGAATGCGCATACGTTCACAAGTATACGTATGTACAATGTACAATATACAATACAATATACGTTGTACATAGATAGAGAAACTTAAAAGTTGTATAAATCCCTATTTGAGACAAACGTAAACATAGAATATTGAGAATTAGGTTATGCGTGTGTAATTAATCATGGTTTATTTTTACAAAGTAGAGAGTAGATAGCGATTTAGTAGTAAATAATTTTTTTATATTTGGTGTTAAATTCAAATATATTTCGATAAAAAAAACATGATATAAACTATAAGAATGATAGCAAAACAATCATTAACCGATAATATTGAGCGCTACCCTTCAGAAACTTAAGAACTGCAATAGATTTTGGTGAGATTTTGTGTATGAGATCGTTGAGTGGTTTCTATTTATAAATTATGAAGTAGAAATACATATGTTTCTATAAGTGGAATATATAAAGTGTTCTGGCGGATATGTTTGATCATGGATTAGTCTGGAGCACGCGTTAGATTTATACTGGGTGTATACATTTTAGAGGATGGATGTGTAGAATTTCTCGTAAGTGAGGAGAGTTTTCTGATCGTCATTCACCTGGGAGTGGCCAGAAACGATTAAAAGTAATCCTCTAGGTAGCCTACGAACATCTGTTTGCCAAAGTGAGAAGGCGAAACATCCCCTACAGTGGGTTGTGCGCTGGGTTTGGGACCCCACACGTAAAAAACGCCCCCAATGAAAAATTATCAACTGCCTTGGATGAGAGACCTCTCTTTTGAGGACATGCACCTGGAAAGTTGGGTCATTTAATTGGGAAGGCGCCGCTGCCCAGCTGGTTGATTGACTGTGCTAACAGACCCTTGTGGCATTTACTACAGTGGCCATATAAGGGGCGCTAGTTTAGAGAAACCCTGAAGAGTACTATCATTTACTCCGGCGGATGAACGTCTAGCCACAATCCCCATCAAAGCGAGGTTCTTCAATAAACTTCTGTTTTGCGCTCACGCCCCGACGATGTGACCACAGATCCCTTCTATGAGCGGTGGAAGCGCACCTTTGAGAACTTCACTCCCCATGATGTCAAAATCTTGCTCGCTGACCTTAACGGCAGGGTGGGCAAAGAAGGTATCTTTGGCGCAACAGTAGGTAAATTCAGCGTCATGAGGAAACATCCCCAAAAGGGTTGAGGCTGATCGACTCGCCGGGTCCCGAAATACGGTTACCTGTAGAACTAGATTCCAGCATAAGAAGATTCATCAGGCTACCTGGCTGTCTCTGGAGCGAAAAACCACTAACCAGATCGATCATGTTGTGATAGGCGGAAGACACGTCTCCACTGATTTAGATGTGCGTGCGCTCGGAGGTTCTAACATCGACTCGGACCACTATCTTGTTGCAGCCAAGATTCGCACCAGCCTCTGTGCAGCAAAAACGCACGCCAACAAACACAAGGAAGATTTGACGTCGAGAAGCTACAATCACAACAGACAGCCGAACGATTTTCTACTCGGCTTGCACTTCTGTTCTCTGAGAGCATTCGTCAACAACTCGGTATAAAGAACTGTGGGAAGGTATTTCAAAGTTCTTACGTACAGCTGTAACCGAAACCATTGGTTTTCGGAAAGTGCAAAAGAGCAGCTGGTACGACGAGGAGTGCCGTGTCGCAGCGGAGAGAAAACAGACTGCCGACGTCGCAACGTTACGATCGACCACAACACGTGTGGGAGGGATAGATACCGAGAACTGAAGAGGGAAGCTAGACGCATTTGCAGACAGAAAAAAAGAGGCCGAAATGCGTGAGTATGATGAGCTTGACAAGCTGGCCAACAAGGGTAAAGCTCGAAAATCAAATTCAAAAAAATGAGGCGGCTTACAGAAGGTTTCAAGACCGGAGCATACTCTTGTAGAACTCCCAAAGGTGATCTAGTCACCTATGCCCAGAGCGTACTTAAATTATGGAGGGAACACTTCTCCAAAGACCCGAAAAAGGACAATCAACACTCACCACCGCTTCGTCCATTTCAAAGCTGCCTTTCTGAGAAAGATTTATGGTTCTCAGCACGGTGGTCACGGGGAATATCGTATTCGATGGAACGATGAGCTGTATGAGTTGTACGATTATACTGGGTCCTGTCGACCAAATGGATGAAAATGCACCAGCTAATCAACGCAGTACTTGTCGGGGGAAGGAGAGGACGGAGAAGGACCAGGTGGAGAAGGGCCGCCTATCTTCGCTTGGAATCTCTAATTGGTGGAACCTTCCGAAACGAAGAAACAACTGACGCGTTGTTGTTAACGGGTCGGTAGGCTAATCTGGCCTTGTCTTTGAAATTTTTTTTTTCATAGAAGTTTTTATTCTACAATAGAACTTTTTTCATATACTCATGTATAAAAAAAAAAAAATTTCGGAATTTTTTAAGACATATATCGGAGAAATGGCTGAGTGAATGAGATGTGTTTTTTTCTCTGTCGGACACGATTTCTCATGTTTGGTTCATTTGAAACACAAAAACCCAATTTATTCTTAAAAAGTACGTGAATGGTTATCGTCCCTACAAGAATCATGAAAGAATGTTGATAAATAAAAAAGGAATTAAAGTTTATTTTTTTTATAATTTTCCCCATAGCTAGGCGTTTTGTAAAGATTTGAAAAACAAAAAATAAGCAAATCGGTTGAGTAGTTCAACCGGAATCTTATCCACCAATTCAAAAAAGTTTGTGATAGATAAAACACGTTTAAAGTTTGAGGTACTGAAATTGTGGGGCTTTTTTCCAATAGTAAAGTAGGTTTCTACTTTAATTCTAAGGGTATAGGGAACAGAAAAGGCAAAAAAAAAAAAAATTAAAAAGATTACCTTTCTGACCCCTTAACTCGGCTATTACCGCGTAAGCGTTTTCTACGCCAGTAAAGAGGAAGATATAAAATTTGTAATTTCTTAGTAAATAACTTTTTTTGGGAAAATATGCATAAAAGAAAAGAGAACCAGAGTTCCAATTAATCTATATTTCTCTCAGTTTAAGTAGCTTTTCTGATACACTAGGCATCAAATGGAAGTATAAATGTAATATTATATATACTGCCAATTTCAGATCATTCATTTACTTCCTACATTTTCGCTTAAGAATAAATGCATAAAGCAAAATCAAACTAAGCCAATTTCTGTTATGTTGAAAATTTCTTTGTTCTGTTCTTAGTAAAAAATATAAAAAAATTGTAGAGAATCGGATCTTAATTGTAGAACATGGAAAGAGGGGTAAAACGTATCAAAAAATTTATGAAAAATATTCCATTTCGATCAGAGAGGGAAGAAGAAAGATTTTTGAATACTCGAAGAGAGGAAAGACATGCAAAACTCAATACGGTGGAGGTCCAAAGTCCAAAATTTGTATACACGCTACAATAAAAAAAAGCAAAAACATCTGGTTTTAAAAACAAAGTATATCGCAAAAAAATTACCTTTGTTTCCCATTCCGAGTGGGAAAAAAGGAGTTCATACAATCATCAGTGAAGAATGGAGGATGTTCTCTCATAGTTTGGGGCTGTTTCTTAAAATTTGGTGAAGATAGCGTACTTAAAAACAATGGAGGAATGAAAATGAAAATATACCAAAATACCAAAACGCAGCGGTACAAACTTGGAATAATTTTTCTTAGAGATGAAGCGTCAACTTGACATTATTCCAATGAAAATATTAGAAAATCTGGTTCGAGGCGTATCAGAACGTCTTAATGCAGTGATTCAGAATAAAGAAGGCAATATTAATTTCTAAATTTGCTTTTAAACCAAACGTTTTGTAGTTTTTCAAAATTTGTACTTTCATTTGACTACTTTTATTTAAGAGTTTTTTTTTTAAAGTGTAACAAAATATTTTTATCTTATACACATCTAGATGTGTATAAGAGACAGACTTCGGTTAGTTTTTTAACTATAAAATTTCACTTTTTATAAAAAACCTTGTTGAATTTTTCTTATCCAAATATTTCTTTACAAAACAAAATCATTAAAATTTTGAAATTGGAAAGTGGAAAAATCCTATTTTTTCCRCCGAAATGCCACTGTGCGACGTTTACACTAAACAACCAATCAAGAAAGTACTCAGAATACTGGGACTCAGGTTACCCATACGCAGTGTCAGTTCGTTTTATCTATAAGATGTATTAGGTATACGCAGTGGTGACGCCGAAGAGTATGCGTTGATACAAAATTTTGTATGCATAATTTTGTATGTCATATATGGGGTGTATTACAATCCAATATTTAAAGCAGGAAATATTAATGATGATATATTCCAGATTACGAAAAAACACAAAATTTCTTTCATAAAATTATGCAATGCGTGATAACTAAAAGGCATAAGATGTTTCAAAATTTTTCAACAATATCTATGTAGTAAAATTTCAGTCTGTTATTTTCCGTATAATATAGCAGACATTTAGGCTGTTAATACCAAGTCTAAATTCAGGTGTCTCATTTATTACAAATGAAAGCAAAACAATTAATTATTTTTTTTTTGCTTAAGCCCAAAGGCAAATAGAAAAATGGGCTTAACACTAATAAATTAATAATAATTTACCGCCACCACGATGAGCTACGCGCCCTCT